GTGTGTGTGTGTGTGTGTGTGTGTGTGTGTGTGTGTGTGTGTGTGTGTGTGTGTGTGTGTGTGTGTTTGTGTGATGAAACACTAAATCAATGTGACCTCGCCTGGACAATAAAGTCCAATCTTATCTTATTCTATCTTATCTTATCTCATTTCATCTTATCTCATCTCACCTCATCTCATCTCACTTCATCTCACCTCATCCCGTCTAATTTCATCTCGTCTCATCTCATTTCACTCATCTCATCTCATCACATCTCATCTCAGAATGCAGGAGACACGCGCCAACAGGTTTCGCTTCCTGGTGGTCTTCCTCTGCCTGTTGGAATGTCTGTCTATAACCGGCGTTATATTTGGCTGGGCCTCGGTGGTCTACGTTCTCAAGGCCGAGGGTTTCTTCCTGGACTTGTGTAACGTCACCCTTGGAGGCAACGGAGCAAACGCCGGCGGGTGAGAAATTAGAATTCGGCACTGAAATGACTTTATTGTGTTGCAAGTGCCGTAAAACTCTGACTAAAACTAAAATTGAGAAAGTAGAATACAGAATGAAGTTGTATAGCGCGTAGATAATGTTTTAGTTAAGGTTGTTCGGGATCGAAGCCCGCCTCTCAAATGATCTGAATTTAGTCAACGGGTGCGTGAACGCATTGCATAAAAATATATAGCTTTGTAAGCCTCATATAACTCGATTCTGAACTTACCAACCGCGTAGCAATTGCTGCTGTGTTAATTAAATTATTGTTATTGAGGCTCTCCGATATTTTCCAAAGGTTACACACAGGGCACAATGCAGACGTTTTCCTCTATTCCTTATTTAATGTGCTTTGGTATAGTTGCTGACGGGTTGCTGTTTTAGGTATGAGTTTTGCAGCACTAGCAACACATTTAGGGCAAATAAATACCGAAGAATAGATGTGTCACTAGAGAGTAACAAACACAAAAAGGACACGGAGGAGAGATTGAAGGACGAACAGTATTTTATCGGATAGAAAAAGCAATTAAACCACACCGGAGTACCGGCCAACCAGTCAAACTTTTTCTCTTACGGAGGGACAAAATCTACTATTTTTGCACAATTTGATAAAATCCTTCGAAATTAAACATGTTTTATTCTCGAAGTCAATTTCAGTTTTAATGAAATAAAAAGACAAAAATCTGCTTACAAAACTGGTGAGTGTTACATAATATTGCCGGGTAAGATTTTTTTTAACGGAATGCGATAAACCATAATGAACTTCCTGGTATTTTTTTATGTGGCGTGTACTGGCAAGTACCATTATGCCCAGTGCACGGTGCCAACTGATTTAGGAGGGAGGGTCTGCATATCACCAGGGACAGGCTGGAAGACAACTTCTGTCTTTGCTGTGCTAATTGCAAGTCTAAAGATCTCACATGAGTTTGAAAAATGATCAACCCTTAGTTGCATGCAGGGTTCTTCACGAGCAAGTAGAGCACACTTACCGGCAAATAGCAGTTCACAGTCATGCATCATGCTAGTTTTAGCTTTTGCCTGGAGTCTACGAGAATTGAAGGCTTTACCGTCCAGTGTGTACCTGCAAGGGAGACCACTAAGAACATGAGGCTGAAAAGTGTTGGTGCCAACACACTGCTCTGTTTCACTCCATTTGTCTTGCAAAAAGCTTCTGACGTAATATCACTCATTGCTTTTAGTTTTAACGCTAGCTTTCATGCTATCACGAAACTGGTGCATCGTAGTAGCGAGTCCGGCAGGCAACTCTACTTTGCTAGGATTTCCCATAAGCCTTCCAAACTAACGGTATCGAAGGTCTCTGTTAGATCAGCAAAGGTCATGTATGAAGCTTTATTTTGCTCTATGCACTTTTCCTGGTTCCTAGTCGGGGCTAATATATTTTCCTCTATGGAAGGGCAAAAGATACCATTTTTGGCTCTCTTCGACCGATTTGACTTTCGACCTTGAAAAAACAACAAAACATTTTGAGTTCAAGGTCACAATTGCATTTAATCGAATTCGGTAGAATTTTGCCAAAACGATAGAGAAATCTAGTTTTGACCCTCCTCGAAGAAATATCTGGCCGATCCCATAATTCAATCAAATGAATTTGATTGGCAGTGTGCACTCGGTATTAACTGGCTCGGCTCGATCCAATCTGATCAATCATTTGGCCATTGAGCATCCGTTCAGAGCTTTCTGTTTCTTTTCTCCCCCTTTCTTTGGATAAATTGCGCATGTGTTGAAAGATGCATCTGATGTGAAATGTGTATTATTGTCAGCTTTACATTTCTCTTCATACTGAATTGTAATATAAGTAATGTATGAATTACATTTTATGTATATGTACCTGCATTTGTTTTTACCATTCCTGTGCAACCAAAAATAATTATCTTGGGACAATGAAATATCGATTTATCTTATCTTATCTTATCTTATCTTATCTTATCTTATCTTACCTTACCTTACCTTACCTTACCTTATTAAGATCTCTGGATATGATTTTATAAGAATGGATGAAATGTATAACACCACACGTATAAAAAAGATAAAAAGCATTATAAACGACCCATCACACCCCTTTTCCACACAAATTGTAAGATCACGCAGCGGCAGATATTATGTACCTCCAAAAACAAAGAAAGAAAGATATAAAAGAAGTTTTTTACCATCTAGCATAAGGCTTTTGTCAGAATGAGCATAGATGTGTGTTGCTCTTAGAGTATGTATCTGTATATAACTCCATAGGTCTAGTATTTAAATTCCTGCATGTGGTTGAATGATGCATTTGATGTAAATGTACATTTTGTCAGCTTTACTTCTCCTTTCATATTGAATTTTAATGAGAGTAATATATGATTTAAATGGTTTTTTTTATATATACTTGCATGTGTTTTTACGGTCCTGTACAGCCAAGGAAAATTTCCCTCTGGGATAATAAAGTACTATCTTATCTTATCTTATGTTATCTTATCTTATCTTCAGGACCATCGTGACTTGTGATGAAAGAGACCTCCAGTTCTCTATCCTGTTTGCTGTGGCTTTCTCTGCCCAGGCCTTGGGAGCTTTCATGATTGGCAGACTGCAGATGGCGGCTGGGAATAGAGTGGCTCGTGTGGCTGTCTCGTGAGCTCCTTTCTGTTTGTCTGTTTATTTGTTTGTTGTGTGTGTTTGTGTCAGAGAAAGAGAGAGAGAGAGAGAGAGAGAGAGAGAGAAAGAGAGAAAGAGAGAGAGAGAGAGAGAGAGAGAGAGAGAGAGAGAGAGAGAGAGAGAGAGAGAGAGAGAGACAGACAGACTGACAGACTGACAGACAGACAGACAGACAGACAGAGAAAAAAATATTACATGCAAAAACACATACGACGTACACATACTATCTACACACACACACACACACACACACACACACACACACACACACACACACACACACACACACACACACTCACACACGCACCCACATACATACATACATACATACACACACACACACACACACACACACACACACACACACACACACACACACACACACACACACACACACACACATTTTATGTCCTTATCTGAGAAGACTAAGGGCTCGTTCCTAAATACAATGTATTTCGATCTTTCTGCTTGGATGTTGCATTCATATCAGCCTGAGTTGGCGTGGCAGGCTGGGTCGAGCCGGCCTCCTAAATTATCTAAACTACGTCGATATGGGCATAAAAATGCATTCATTAAAACATTACTGCTTATTGTATTTATACAATTTTTTCTTCCCAGATTAATTTTCTTGAGCGGATGTTACATCGTTGCGTTCACCTCTCTAGGTAAGATTTCTCTATTAATTGATATTCCAAAATGACCCATAATCTACATGATTTTAATGATTGATTGATTACATATAATACCTTAACTCTCTATCGGAACCAACCAGATGATTTATTGTTTTATTTTGGTATGTGTTTTACGGCGCTCACAACTGCATACAGTCATAATATGAGCATGCGGGACACAGTAAACATTTTTAGTTTAGTTCGATTTTGGACCACTAAAGGATCTTTAAAGTGCGCAACTTGCACACAGGACCTCCGAGATTTTTTGCCCTTATCCGAGAAGGTTAGGTGTGAGATCTTACCTCCCTAAGATCAGGGGTATGGTTGAAAGACAGCAGTAAGATGGAGCCAAGACGTAGCAGTAGAAAAGTTGCAGAAAGACTCAGGAGCCTAGAGGGGGGGAGGGGGGTTGGAGTGGGGGCAAAAAGTAGAAAGCAGACGACAGAACTTGGTTAGAGGGCAGGGCAAATTTTTAGAGAACAATTTTTCTGTCGCTGTCAGGCTTCGAACCCGAGACCTATAGAATGAGAGGCTAACACCATAACCTCTAGACCACGAGAGCCCCCCACCAGGTGATTTTGAAAGCGGGTCGTTTCAGCCGTGCCTGTTATAACTAGATCCAGACAGAGTGGGATACAGCATCCATACAAACACCCCCCTCCCCCCCCAGAAATACTAGATAAAATAATGTTACCTTTTGCCACCACCAATAATCCCACCGTCACTAACACCATCGCCACAACCACAACCATTAACAACCCGCTATCACCACCACCACCCCCCACCACCACTACCTCGACCAGCAAAACCGCTCCTGCCATCATCACCACCGACGCCATCACCACAACCATCACCATTAACACTTCCATAATCAACACCATCATCATCGCCATTTTTAACACAACTCAACCACCTATCCCCAACAGACTCGCCATGGCTACTGTATCCAGGCCTGTCTCTAGCAGGCACGGGGGCCATTGCTACGATCATGCTGTGCAGTCAGACGTCGGTGCTGTTCCGTAGGGCCGCCCCCATCGTGGTGGGGATCATGAACGGGGCGGCTGATTCTTGCACTGGCCTGCAGTTTTTGGTCAAGGTAAGGTGTCTCTTTTTGGCTTCAGTATCTTTCACTCTTTGGATCACAATTTTCTCGGTGTTTTTACCGTGTGCCCTAGACCACCATATCATCTTTTCGCTTCCAAGTCCTTGTCTTCCAACCTGGGTATGGCCAATGACACAAGACAACAAGATAAAGAAATATTAAATCGACTAATACCGAAAGCACGTAAAATTTCAACATCTACATTCCCCTACTTGGATGAATTGTACATAACAAATTGCTCTAACAAATTAATTAAAACTTTTTAGACAATAAACATCCCTTGTTCCTTTAAATAAAAACATCAGTCAGAAGTAAAAGACCTAGGCTTCTGATCTGTTACAAAGAAAGATATAGAAGGTCATTTTTATCATCATCTGTCAAAATGCTTCCATCTTAACCATCTTGTATAAGTATACAATCATGGATCAGAATAACATTGAGTGTGTATCTAGCTTACAATTATTATTGTTTATATTGCTGCTCATTTATATTATGCATGTGATTGTAAGCCTACGTGTGTGTGTGTGCATGTGTGTGTACGTGCGTGTGTGTGTGCGTGTGTGAGTCTCTCTCTCTCTCTCTCTCTCTCTCTCTCTCTCTCTCTGTGTGTGTGTGTGTGTACACGGGGTGAAACACCAAAACAATGTGCCAGGATCTGGACAATAAAGATGTATCTTACCTCGTCCTGTAAATTCTCAAACATCACCTGCAGCCTTGTCTTGCAGCTTTGTATTCTTCACTAATGACTAAAGTGTCAGTCTCAGCTTGGTCTGTCTGCAGTATAGGTCAACATCTGAGAGCCCAGGAGGAACACCAAGCCACTTCCTGGTGAATTTGTCGACCTTTGCCGCCATTGCTTCAACCGTGCTCATGGCAATTTCATAAATCATGAGAGACCAAAGCAACATTGGGATAAGCTTTTGCTGGAGGCATCAGACCTTATGGCTTCCTAGTATGGGGCAAAGGTCAATCATCTCCAACCCGCTTTACGGGCTCTTCAGATGCTGCGTGGATTCCTTGACCACTTACAAAAATGGGTGTGCTTGTTCACTTTTTCCTCTCTAAGTGAGAGGCTTCTAGGTTTCTTTGGCTTGAATTTCATTCGGGACCACCTCATTAAATCATCCAGATGCCGAGGTACTCTGTGGATCTCTTCTTCGCGGGAGGTTAGGACTGTCGTGTCATCCATGAATGCCTTCAGAGGTGGCATTTGACAACTTCCGTCAAGTTCCGTTGGGATTGTCTTGTTTGCCACAGCCTTGAGAAGCACTTGCATCGCCAGGACGAAGAGCACGGGTGAAACCGTGTATCCTATTGCTAAACTCACTTTTAGGTTGACCTTGTGCTCAATCGCATCTGGAACCCCTCGAAGTAGACCTGAAAAATGTGACATATCTCTTCCGGAACGTGATACATACTTAGGGCTATCTGGATCATTTGTTTGGGGGAAGGGGGGGATGAGCCATACACATTTGCCAAGTCAGGCCAAATAACACCCAGGTGATGTTTGCCTTTCTTTGCTTTCTGGGCAGCCTCCCAGGTCCTGCTTCCCAGTTCTAGACAGCCAGCTCTACCGGGTACTCCAACTTTCTACATAGTGGTGTCTTCCTATCCATTTGCCAGTAGGTAGGGCGTGAGTCTGGATGCCATCGCCGAGAAGAAGATTTTGTCCTCAACATAGAGAAATGAGATAGGATGAAATTGGCAGACCCTTTCAGAATCCTTTTCTTTAGGGTTGTATACCGCATCAGTCTACATTCATTCCTTGCTGATGTGGCCGTTCCTCCATGCCAGTCTCAGCTGTCTGTGGGACATATTTAGTACAGTGCACATGGGATGCCATAGGACCCAGGATCAGATCTGCACCTCGCTTTGTTGACAATGCGCTTTATTTTATAAATGGTAAATGATACTCTTTAAGCTAAAGATAGCATAAACATAATGATGAGAATAGTCGTAATTGTAATATAATTCCATTAATGAAAACGGCATCCCTGCAGGCGGATGAATTTCATTACTAGTACTACATGTACACTTTTATTATGTTTCAACCAAGTGAGTGGCGGTGGTAGCCTAGTTGTTAGACTACAAGACCCGTAATGGTGAGATTGTGTCCTTGGGAAAGGCAATATACACGAAATTCCCATTTGGTTGAGTCTTTTCGGAGACGGACGTTAAACTCGGAGGTCCTGCCTCTTAAATTATCTAATAGTGTTGATAGGGGTCTTAAACCTATACCATTTCATCATTTTCACAACCAGTTGGGACAACAGAAAAGAAGATAGGTTTATTGATTAGCTGTAGTAGATGTCTTACAACGCCATCAACACATCTTAGACCCTGAGAGGTTGGCAGGTGCTCTGGTCTGGTTTGCTCCTTCTTTTGCTTCAAAGATCCATCAAGATCGTCCTTATCTCTCCTCCTATTTTTTGTGTTTGTTACTATCTTATCATCATCATCCGGTGCCTTGCCGACTGGCGTGGGCGATCATGGACCTCCACTTCACCCTGTCCTGCGCTGCAGCAATGGTGTCTGTTGTTCTTGCTGCTCCCAGCCATGTTGTCATCTTGTTCAGTATCTTTTCCCTCTGTCTGCCTCTGCCTCTCTTTCCATCAAACTTTCCTGTTGTTACAATATTCTCTAAAGCTTTTTTCCGCATTATGTGTCCTAAGAAATTTGCCTGTCGTTTTCTTATATTCGTGATAAGTTGTCTTCTATAATTTGCTTCAACCAGGACTTCTTCATTTGCTTTTCTAGCTGTCCATGGGATACGTAGCATGCGTCTTATGAACCACAACTCTGTCGCTACAATTGTTCTTTCCAGCTGTTTATTGATTATCCACGCTTCGCACCCGTATAATAGGATTGGCTCGATATAACTTTTCAGTACTCTTTTTCTCGTTTCCAGTGACAGTGTTACTATCTTATAACAGATTTAAATCTTCGGCACTTAATTGACCATGACCTGCATGTGCCGTAGGCTAAAACTCTAATTAAAAAAACACCCAGCAATCCAATTTCAAATTTTGTAATAACAGTAAGGTGGGTACGCAGCTTGGAACAAAGCCGTCTAGATCATATGAGAGTCTCAAAAGAAGTTGAGGGGGAAAAATTCCAAAATATGAGTCTCACAGCAAAGGTTTGGATAAAAGTATATCTTACATTTGTTTACAATCTCCAGTTGCTGCTGAAAGTAGTACAATAATTAATCTAGACCATCAAGGAGGACAGTTATTCGACCCTGCTCAACAATCAGGGCTTATAGAGTCTTTGATTTCCCCTCCCCACTTTCTCCCAGATGAGCTACGAGGCAGGCATCAGCCGGCAGAGCATCTACCTGTTCATGGGTTCCCTGGCTCTGCTCACCCTGCCCTGCACGTTCCTCCTCATTCCCAGGGGTCACTTGGAGCGGCCACCGTCAGCTGACCACAAGGATACAGGACGGGAAGAGCACGGTGCAGTTGAATATAAAGGTGAATATCGACGATGTTTTATGGAATGGTAATGACGATGATAATGATAACAATAACTCGCATATAACTCGACTTCTATTCAAGATGGATAAGTATTTTTAAAAAATGGAAAGATAGAGAAATGAACACGCTTTACGTTTATACTAATAACTCTTTTCACATGTCAGGAAATTGATGAGTGCCTGATTCCACCGCATGGGGACACTTTATTGTGTGTCATGACCCCGTGGAATCAGGCTCTCGCCAAGGAGGTGGGAGTGGCTTGGTTTAAGAGAAAATGGCCCTCAAAGTTTTGTGAATTCCATTGCTTAAAAGAACTTGGAAAATGAAAATTTAAATTTTTTTGTGCATTTCATCCACGTTTTTCAGGAAATTCCACACAGAAATGTGATTCTTAATGGATATAAAAGACGTTGCCCCCCCCCCTCCCAACCAAAAAACAAAACAACGAAACAATCCCTTGACAAAATTGCAAAACCGGCAGAAAAAAAAGCCAGATTCTTCAATTTCATTATTTTGACGAGCGTCTGAGTATCCGTGGTTTTTTAAATAATGATAATGCCGATGATAATACCTCGCGCAATTGCGCAAATACATCTCGTCTTTGGTTCAAGATAGATGGGTATTTTTTTTACGCTGCCTCACATTTATTTATATCCAGGCCTTTTTCTTTAACCGTTCTGGTCAAGTTCTGTAAGTTGCTCTTGGTGTACCTTGTTCTTCTGTTTCCCCAATGAGAGTAGGATATTCCAGGCGGTTATGTCGGTTCATATGTCTCTGGAACGGCATTTGTGTCTTAATCTTTAGTTTGTATTGAATATCTAATGATATCTCCTTCAATAATTGTATCTTACAGGATATTGAGATTGTTTAAGAATGTTATCAGATCTGTTGGAATATGTAACAATATGGATTGTAAAGCGCATATAGCTTGCTGTTGGGCGATAATTTGCACTACGCAAATGCTATCTATTATCAAAGAGTCTACATAACAAGAGGGGCCACTTCTCTCTTTGAGCCAATTAAAAAAGTGTCCTCAAAATTCGGTGACGCCCTCTTCGCAAAAGCGCACCTTAAGCGAACAGAGTTATCTTACTTGAGTTAAAAAAATGAAAGTGAAACTAACAAGTTTTTTAATGAATTTCGGAAGTACGCTTTTGTAAAATGGTTACACTGACAAAAAGACTCTTCCGGAGGAAAGGGTGATTGTTTTCTTCGTTTAATTTGACTTTAGAATGAAAGGCGAGAGGTCATTAAAATATTTTTAAAAACCTAAAACTCCGCACTGAACGAACCCGAACTGCAGATGAACAGCAGTCGATCTGCGGACACAAGGAGGTGCTATTCCTATTCTTCTTCTGGAAAAACGAAAGAGAGCTTCAAAACAGACTGCAGCGCCATCTGAAGCAAAGAGCATACTTCCTGCGGACACTTTTTTGGCTGAGTGGCCCATCTTGTTATGTACTATCTTTGCTATTATTAAGATAGTATTATTATGACACTTTCTTTACGAAGTTGCAATGAATGCCCAGATGTCAGAACACACCAGTTTATCCGACACTTGGTGAAAACTCAATGTGCACAGTAGTGTAGTTAATTAACTAGCTTTAGACGGGTTGGACGTCTGCTGCCCAACTTTTTAATCCTTCCAGTGCCTGTAACGAGACTGAACGCATTATGGGTACTTAATAAATAAATAAATAAATAAATAAATAAATGAATAAATAAATAAATAAATAAATAAATAATTAAACAAATAACGTTTTAAATTATCCTCATTAGGATTACAATGGCAACCATACATTAATATACATAAATTAAATATATGCATAAATACATACATCAATGCACAGTGTTACACCAATACAAAACAATTTCACAAACCTGATATGCCACTCTGCCGTAAACTAACAAAAAGCCTTTCTTCCTTCTTGGCGCCACATTTTTTAATGTGCAAAATTGAAAGCCTGATCAGTTACTCAGTTTGTGTGAAAAAACCCAAAGTGAAACTGTGACTATTTTTTGAATAATTTAAAATTGGGAAGAACACTTTACCCTGACAAAAAAAATCACTCTTTGTATATAAACTGCTGTGAATAACAAAGGCATTTTATCAGCTTACGGCAGCCGTGCTTGTCGCCACTGTGCATTGCTATGAAGGCTATTCGGAGCGCTACTAGCCGGAATCACATTCTGTCTTGGGCTCTTCAGTAGGGTTGTGGAAAAGGCCTTGTAGTGACACTGTTAAAATTATAACCAAATATTTTCCATCTGCACTCTAAGTTAAACGTCGTTTCTGCTACTTTCTTTTCGTTACAGAAAAAGCTGGGTCACTAAACCAAGCGTTCGAGAGCAAGGGAATCGAGGAGGAATCACAGAAAAAGAACGTGCAAGTGTCTGAAACGAATAAAGTACCAACTCACATGGATCCAACTCAGGGTCGGGTTTTGGTTTCACATACCACAGCTAATACTGAGAAATCAGGAGCTATGAATAGTAGTTTGAGAAAACCAGAGAATTTGGAAAGTGGTTTGAGAAAACCAGAGATCGTGAAAGTTAGTCTGAAAAAATTAGACACCACAAAAAAATCAGAGAGCTTGGAGAGTACAATAGGACCATCAAAAACTAATATACAAACCCTTCACTGCACAACAGAGAGTAAACATTTATACAGCGAGGTTCGAAAATCAGAAAATAAAGAACATGATGGCAAAAATAACAAAAATGGGCGCTATATTTTAAGTAAATCCAAAAGTTCAGAAACGAGCTCTAGCAGACGTGAAAGTATGGAGAAAGACTTAAGCAAAAACGAAGATGGAGACGGCGCTTCTGAAACGACACACACTGTGACCCGGAAGTCGGAAATGACGTTGCTAAAGTACTTGATGACCCCTCGCTACCTAGTGCACCAGTTCTGGTTTTTCGTCATGTTTGTGGGCTATTTCTACTTCCTGGTCTCTATCAACATCCGGCTGGAGACGATACTGGACTCCAGGGACGAAGGTAAGCAATATGACGTCACACACCTAGGGTGGAGGAAGAACGACTGTATTTTCTTTTTAGTTTTAATAAGCGTTTTAAGGCACTTGCAACATGATTAAGACATGTAAGTGTCGGAGATTAGATGTGTCACAAGAGAGTAACATACACAAAGAAGAAGGAGGAGAGACAAGGACGATAGATGTTTGAATGGAAAAAAGGAGCAAACCACACCAGGCTGTATTTTAAAAAGTAGTTAAAAAAAATCCGCCCGGGCTAAGTGAATACCTCTTCTTGTTGGTATTGATCATAATATCAATCCTTAAAGTTTTTGTTGTGTTTTTGCAGCTTGTAGATTAAAATAGATTAGATTCAACATTGCTTCCCTCTGTCTTTTATGTTATGTGGTTCGTCCCACTCTGATTACACTGCCAAACAAGTCAGCCTTCGCCCTTTGTGCCTGAGGGGTTGATTTCTATAAAACGTTTCATTTCTGCCACACCCCTGATCTTCTGGTAGGAAGGATCTACACTTAGCCTTCTCGGACAAGGGCGAAAAATCTCGGAGACCCGTGTGCAAGTTGCGCACGTTAAAGATCCCTTGGTGGTCTAAAATCGATAAGAGTACGCTTCGGCCGCCACCCGGGCAAAATTCAAAATTTCTTACCAACTGAACATATTATTAGGTGTGTCCCGCGCGCTCATATGACCTTATGCAGTTGCGAGCGCCGTACAAACACTTACCAAAACAAAACAAACGTTTCAAAGTATAGACACAGTTTACTAAGTACAGGAAAGAAGCCAGTGTAATGTCGCTACCTCAGAGTTACAAAGTTCTATCTGCTCAATATCTAGATTTAGTGCTAAGAAATTTGACGTCAAGCATGTTGAGTTTCAAAATATGCCAAACTTTTTCGAATGCAATTCTTTGGATATCTTGATAACGATTTCGAATATTCTTACGATTTTGTTATAGCAGACAGAACATTTTGCTTTCTGACCTCAAAGTCTTAATAATTCAAAGCGGCCAAAAATTGCCACAAAGAACTTTGTAATTCTGAGGTAGCGATGTGTCTAATGGCGTTATCTCATCCCCCCCAGGCCCCCCCCCCCCCCCCCCCCCCAAATAGTAGAAGAGAGTAATCAGGTTAATCAGCACCTATAGACTTGAATCTTAATATCCTAGACCTTGCATTGTCATGGCCGCCGCTCTTTGCTCTATAAAACTTTGCTGAAAATTGGGTGCATAAATAAAGGGATAAACACCAGTCTCGTTTACACCCCCCCCCCCCCACTTTCACCCCACCACCACCCTTGCCCGTCATTCTGATCAAAAATGAATTAAAAAGTGCACTCCATGGGGAATCTTCTTTACACAAGAGCAGTGGCGGGGCGCAATTTGGTTCAAATGGTGCAAGCGCTCCACCTAACCCCGACCTTCACCCCCACCCTTTTCTAATTGTTCTAAACCAGTGAGTGCTCTAGATCTACTCTAGATCTACTCTAGATCTACTCTAGATCTACCCTTACTACATCCTTGCGATCCGTCACCCGCTGGCTGCGCCAGTGAAGAGACAGACAGCGAGGATGGTTTATGCTCGTGGCACCGCTTGCGGTAGTGTCTGCTGGGAGCAAGCAAAATCTTTGCACCAAAGTAATTTTGTCACTGTAGAGAAATCTAGGCATCGTTCTTCCCGCACAAGAAGAGAGGTGCATGAAACTCCTCTTCGCAGCACCAATTTGAAGCAGAAAAAAAATCGATCCAAGTTACCGCTAGCCTCTACTACACTAGAGTCTGCAACAGCTCAATGAAGAATGGGTAGGTAGGCCTATCGAAACTGTTGTCTCCCTCTATTGTGTAGCAAGTCCTGTTAGGCTAAGGTAAATCTTCAAATTGAGTCTGGTTGTTGGTGCAGCACGAAGCAATTAGAAATTTTAAAATCTTCTCAGATTGTGAGCATAGAGAGTTGTTAGTATTGTTTCACTTTATTGCAGCTTTTATGAGGTTTCATCTAGAAACAGTTGTAAATATCGATGGGTGTAGATTACGGGAT